CCCACGCTGTCCCTACTGAAACAAGGGGGGCCCACACTCCCTTGTGCCAGGAGGACATTCCGTAACAACCATCGCACCCTACAGCGGACTCAACACGGACGAGCGCCCTCGAGAGGGCCGCGATCCGCACCACAGCAAATGATGAAGAGATCTGTCCAACTGAGAACGGTGGCGATTAGCTAGGCCAATCTGAAAAGGCTCTTGGGAGTTTAAGATAGGACAAAGGAGAAACCAGCTAGCAGGGAAGAGAGGAAAACCACCAGAAACTAGCACTTGTCGCCGTCGCCTTAACATTCAAGTGAAAAACCATGAGCTCCAGCTGCGCGCTTACACTGCACCTCACTGACTCCGAAGACCACTCTCTGTTCTTTCTCTAATGCTATTTCTTTGGCTTCTTCTGGTTTATGTGAAGTCAGATCACATGGCTGAGATTCACATTTTTACTTATCTCTAAATATACTGTAATATTTCCTTGCCATCATCATTTACTTCGCAATTCACTGCAAAAAAACTAACAGGGCTAGACACCCAGCATTGGCCTTGATTTTTTTTAAAATCATTCCACCATATCCTGTCAGGGTGACTTCAATACAGATCACAGATATGTATTTTTTTCTCTCCACCCAACACTGACCAACCAATTCAGGTCCTTATTTCTTGTATGGTCTGCAACAGCCTTCTGAACGATTCTGCCACTTTCAGTCTTAGGGTCCCTGAATCCATCTTCCAATTAGTTGTGTAATCTGACACAGATCAAAATGAGCCAGTCACTTCATATTTAAAATCCTTTGATGATGATTCTTCTCCTACAGAATAAGATCCAAGCTCAATGAAATATTCTGTAAGGCCCTGTTGGATCTTTTCCCAGCTGTTCCTTGTCACACACTTAAATTCCAACAACCTCATATTGCTTGCAAATCCAAACATTTAGAATAATTCTCGCCTCTACACTTTTGTTTATGCCTTTTCCCTTGTAATGTCCAGCCCCTCCTCCTCCTCCTCTGTATCATACCCATCTTTTAAGACTGACCACTGGCCTCATCCCCTTCAAGAAGCTGTCCCTGACCCACCAGCTTCACCCCTGCCCACACAGCCTGCAGTGGACACTCCTCCCATCTTCTCCCCAATACACACAATCCCTGGGTTGAGTAGTTCTGAAGAAGGAAATGACAATCCACTCCAGTACTCTTGCCTTGGAAATCTTGCGGACAGAGGAGCCTGGTGGGCTACAGTCCATGGGGTCGCAAAAGAGTCGGACCTGACTTAGTGACTAACACAACAAGCACTATATACATCAATTGCTTAATAAATCATTACTACAAAAAAAATTCTTTTGTTTTTCGGTTCCTTTATTTTTTTTGTTTTTCACCAGTTCTTCCTTTAAAAAAAAAAACAGATTTTCTTTGATGTGGACCATTTTTAAAGTCTTCATTGAATTTGTTACAATGTTGCTTCTGTCTACCTTTTGGTTTTTTGGCCCTGAGGCATCTGGGATTTTAGCTCCCAGATTAGGGATCCAACCCTGCATTGGAAAGGGAAGTCCCCTCAGCTAGTATTCTTAAAGTAAAGTTTTGGCAAAGCAAGTTTTTTTTGGGGGGGGGCGCGGAATTCAGTTTTTAAATTCGTTGATCTTAAAGAACATTTTCTGTATCACCTCCCATAAATCTCAAAAGACATTTGTATTTGTAAGCAAGCAAATATATGTTGAGATATTTGTTCTACCTAAAGAAGTGCAAGAAATTAGATAGGCAATTAAATTTAGGAAGCGTTAAAGGTCTAACGACTGGTGATATTGAGGGGGAGGGGAGTTGGGCATATCAAAAGTTCAACCTATTTGGTTACTGTTAATAATGCTTCAATTTGAAGGTGACACTCACTATTTACTTCTTCCTATCATTCCCAACTTTCACATTTCTTCTAAACTGCCCTAACTCAGTATAATCCACGTGTCTGGACTCTTCCACAGCACTAGTGTGCTCCAGGTAGCACTTTCCCCAGAGGAAGTACTTTCAACATCAACTATTTTTCAAAGTCAACTTTTCTCCAGAAAGTTCTAAACTGGATTTGATCTAGTTGAGACAATTAAGTCTCATACAAACTGAAACGGGCAATACAGTATGGTGGAAAGAACGGTAAACTCAGAATCGGTGAAAATTAGTTCCATTCCTGGCTTGCTTGTGATGGGGGAGCTGTATCTCCAGGTGCTCCCACTTTCTCACGTCGTAAATGAGAGCTCTACCATCTTATCCAAATCCAATAACATGCTCTTGGTGTATGTACCAGAGAGCTTCGCAAAGTATCCAGATTGTGGTAACTTCACAAACACAAAAATCCAACCTGCAACTGAAACATCCAGAATGATCAAACCTATTGTCATATTTGTTAAAATGCTTTAAGCTGGAATAAACTTATCATTATAACCTAGGTCTAAACTTGTCATATTTGTATTTATTCAAAGCTAACAAGAATTTTAAAAATAAAAGGGGCCATGTTTAAGGATTTCAACAGTTGGTGTATGACTGCTAAAATTTTAAAACTTTTAACTTTTTAAAAATTTTAACAGAGTAAACACACCCAATTCCCCTGCAATCTAATCAACTTTGTCTGCATGGCTGGCATTGTTTAACATCAACTCCCTCAAATCACTTAAGGAGCCCCACAGCTTCCAAAAGAGTTAATTCCTATTGAGAAGAACTACATCTTCAAACCAGAATACTACATCTTCAGACCAGAATACAGTCAGAGCAAAAGAAATTTCTATTTCAAAGGTAGGGAAAATCCTCACCATTCTGGAAAATAATTACCTTCAATCTTTCAAAAAATGCTTTATGAACAGTAGTTTTCAATGTTATTTTGTGCCTTGAGGTTTGATTACCACTGCCTATGATACTTCTCCTTTGCTCAGATGCCCAGTAAATTCTCGCGTGGTCCACTCAGAAGGCACACAGAAAAAACAGGAAAAACACACATGCACACATTAAAATAACAAGAGGAGGAAGAGGCAGAGTGGGAAGGGGGCCTGTATTTGTGACAGGGGGGAAGGGAGGGACAAAGAAAGGAAAGAAAAAGGGAGAGGAAAGGATGACAAACAGCAAGATCTTTTTTTCCAAAAATAATGGTTTATGTTTACAAAATAGTGAAGTTTCCAGAAAGTGAATCTTAGTATTACACAACAGAAAGTAATAAAGAGGCCAACAGGAAAAATATTTGAGACAGCAGTGTCATAAATATTCCAAACTCCAACCAATTTCACATAAGCTGTACTTTTCCCTGACCCGAATCAACAATTTTAAGTCAAAGGAGTTAGTAAAACTAGTCAAGGCATGTTACAGTGCTAAATAAACTATAATCACAAATCTCAGATACCATGGAAATTCAGAGCTGGAAATTTCCTTACCAACTAACCACCTAGTTCAACTCTCTCATCACTCAGAGAAAGAAACTGAGGCCCTGCCTGGTAATATACCTAAAATCACAAACGATGGCAGGATTCAGAAAGCTAGAATTCTTTGTTCAGTAATACCCTGTATCTTCTTTCTCTGATTTTATAAGCTAACCATCAACCATCAAATTTCAACTTCTGTCGAGTCTAACAAAAAGCATTCTGGTAGTCTGATCAGAAGTGAACACTTCATTAGAGCACTGTTCACACAAAACACAAAATTAAGAAATAGCCTTCAGAGGAGGGTATTAACAGAATATCCTAACATAAAAAAAACAAAGGTCTGATATTTTGAAATTTTCAGTCATTTAGAATAAGAGCCATAGCATTTAAAATTGAAAGTTCTTCTCTGGATCTATGGATAAAAGGAAGAAATATTCAACAAGGCCTATTTTTGTGCGTATTCTTTGCTGCCAAATCATTTGGAAGATTTCTGTGGCTATTCTCCTTTCTGATTAAATAGTAACTTATTTATCAACGTTCTTCTCAAATTTCAGTCCGGCAAACTTGAAGAATTTCACCACAATGGTTGCTTATACCCTCTATATCCATGTCACTAGGATCTGAGTAAGACCCTCCCTTTGAAGCCAATCAAAAATGAGGCTGCTTTGAATGTAAAAGCAGCAGGTTTGGGGCCTAAAAAACTGGATTTGTTTTCACATTGACTGATATAATGGATTGATTCCCCCCCCTCAGACATGTAAACTTGATGCATGCTATTAATTTGGGTTACATTTCAAAAATTCCCATGGCAATTAATAATTTTATATACAATTAATCTGCTTAAAGCTTTGTTTTAACATAGGAGAGAAAGGTGAGGGGAGGAGGGACCCAAGAGCACTAGCCTAAGGCCTTTTTCTTTTTTAAACTGCAGGTGGAAAACGGAAGCCAATTTTCTTTAAAACACTAAAATACGTTGTTTTTTTAAACAAATCCCTGTTTTCCACGAGACTTTATATAACGCCAACACACAAATATAGGGCATTTCCAATCGGTAGTGCTTCCCCAAGAACACACGTCTTCCTGAGGTTTCAACCCCTCTCACCCTCCAGTTGCTTTTATGGAGATAACACGGACGACAAACTTCGGTCGCCGGTCCTTTTGTCGTCCCCCCTAGACAATCTCCGGCCTAATTTGGGGCAAAACCCTCCACGGATCACTCCTCCCCCCCCATACTCCCTGCTCTCCCATGATTAGAAATTAATACCCCACAATCGTGTCTCTCTTCCCACTCCCCCCACGCGCCCCCCACGTAAGAGGAGAGCGCCTGACCCACCACCACCCGGAGAACAATGTAAACCCAACTGGGAACCCACAGATTTCCTCCATCCCGGCCCGGCGATTTATCTCAAAAGGCAGTCAGAAAGCGAGTTATGTCCTGTCATCCTGGATTCCCCCGAGGTGTCCTGCACCCGGCCTGGGATTACCAGCTCCCACTCTACACGCAGGGAGCCTTAACCCTCCGCCCCCTTCCCGCGATCGCCCCCCACGGACCCCAAGCCCGGCCCTGGAGCGGCGGGCGGGCCGCGGGCCCCGGCTCCCCGCGCATGCCCCGCACCTTTGTAGTGCACCCGCAGGTTGTTCTGAGACAGGCCGATGTAGCTGAACTTGTCCTTCGGGCTCCAGGACCGCGGCAGCGGCGTCTCCTGCTCGTCCACGGCCGGGTAGAGGCGCTTCAGCCGCCGCTGCAGCTCCTTCTCCTGCTCGTTCAGGGCCGAGTCCCCGTGCGGGAAGGGCGCCGCGGCGCTGCCGCCCGCCGCCGGGGCCGGAGCCGGGGCGCCTCCGGCCGGGCC